TGGGGTTCGGGGGTGACCCCATGACGGAAAATTTTTGGGGCACTCCTTCACTTTGGACTTAGAATGCCATCTCCTAATATCATCAGCGCTTGCATAAGCTTGTCATTGTATATTAAACTTTGCTGCCGGAAAAATTATTAACCCACCTAGTACCCCGATACCCCAGCCATTTTCTCTTCGATTTTAAAGGAAGCCTCTAGGACATCTTTTTGGCAAAATGGGGGGGCAAATTGCCCCCCCATACCCCCCCTTGTGCCAGCCATTGATATCGGTCAATGCATTGGCGATATACCGGATTGCTCTTTAACTTCTACAAAGCATCGTGCTCGAAGCGCCTCTTACCATTGTTTTTCAAGTAACGTTTTGCATCGTATCCGCCTTAGATAATTCTGTTTCGATGCCCATCCGTGTGCATATATATATATTCTATTATATATATAATATATATAAGTACTAATATATAATATATATATATATATACTATATATATATGTATTATAATATACATATATATAGATATTAATCTATATATAATAACACACCTGTCACACACACACACACGCAACAACACACATCACACACCACACACACACACCACCACACACACACAACCACAATCAATCACTCCACACACCCACTCACAGGAACATCACACACAACACACACCCACACACACACCACACACACACCCACACACACACACCCACACACACACACACACACACACACTATGTCCTTGTTATTTTTCTCGTTATTTTCAATTTTTTCTATTTTTTATTTGTATGGTGTGCATACGCATCGTATGAAATAAAGTCTAAATAATCAATATTCCTTATGCCATGGTCTAGACCCATGCATAATCATACACGCTGGACCTGCCTTCCGAATGAATGTACGCAAAGTCACACGAAAATAACTCACAGTCATATCCTTTTTAGTGTGGTGAACAGGACTGTTCAGGAAACTTATGGCCTTACTGCATTATATATGCTTAAATAACCCCATTTCATAATCACAACACTACACACATAGATTATAGAGACAGATAGATAGATAAATAGATTAATAAATATAGCGACGATCTGGGATCCAGTAGAAAGTGTCCAATGGCAACGTATTCCACATTTTATTATAAAAGGAAAGCAATGGGAAAAACCGGAATAAATAATTCCATGTAGATTAAACTTTTGTTAGAAATTTAATATGCCCCACTGCTGGCGCAAGACCTATTCTTAGTAGAAGTCGTAGAGCGCAAGAGTAGAGGTTTATAAATAAGTGACCATGTGAATGATTTCGTCACTTCCACGCGTTGAGGGAGAGTTCACATCGCTTCTCCAGTGATTGCTCGGGGAATCTCGTTAACCTGATATCACACAAACAACAAACGATCAGCTAATGAGTCATAATTTACAACAACCATGCCCAAGTGACCAAACCTTCACAAAGAAGAATTGCTTTGACAACGATGGGCATTATTATAACTCTGTTCTTGCTATTTTCCATAATTCATAACGATACCTGTGGTTCTGTTACATAACTTCCGGTGTTACAAATGTGAGAAATACAACTCGAAGTAATGATACAGCAATAAACTAAGCTCTCTCATGAGAAATAATGAAATGTAACAACTTTGCAAACAAATGGAAGAACTAGAAACTCTTAAATGTCACCCGCACAAATTGAAAAATCCAGGTAGAATACTACACACTAGAAGACGCCGATTAACTTCTCTCCAGTGACTTTCACCGCTCAACATGTGGCTGTCTACAGTTTGTAGTATGTTTGCAGCTACTGCAGTGGGAAGCCAGATGTAAACCAGTTTCCTCCTTTCTCATGAGGAGGAGAAACCATTTTATGGTGGCCTTTTTGGATGAAAGTATATTACAATCTTTCGCACCTGGTATGGACGACATACTAAGTTGGCAATGGTCAGTGGATAGCAAGAACAAACCTGCGTTTCGTAATAATTAACGGGAGGCGTTCTTTCCTCTGTCGCAACCGATTCTTCCCGAGTACGTCAAGGCAGCTGAAGTTTTGCGTTGACGTGACTGTGTCGTGACGTGTTTTTTCCTGTATATATTTACATTTACTTTAATTGTATATATTTATATTTAATCTTATTCCCTTTAAACTATCATAATGCTATTTGGCATAAAAAAAGATGTTTTGTTTATTAGATTTGTTTTTTTTAAGAAAAAAATTATATGAGTGATAATACGTCCTCTGCGACAGCTTCTAAGATATTAGAAATCTTGGGGAACACATCATTAAACGAAACGTAATAGGAATACACACACATAAACACACACACACCACACACATCACAACCACCCACACACACACACACACACCACACACACAACCACACACACACACACACACACCACATACTATATATATAATATTATTAGATTATATATATACTTATATATATGTCATATATATATATATATATATATATATATATATATATATATATATCTATATATACATACATAAACACACACACACACACACACACACACACCCCCTCACACTCACCCCACACATATATATATATACTACTATATATATATTATTATATATATAGATATATAATAATAGATATATATATATTATATAACACACAAAATACCACATACACATACAACAAACATACACACAACCACAACACAACACATAACAACGCAAAATAAACACAAACACACACTCATACCCACACACACACAACCACCAGCACACACACACTACACATCACACCACACGCACACACACACACAAATCACACACCCACACACACCACATATATATAGTATTATATATATTTATATATATATTATGAATATACTCTATCTCTCTTTACTCTATCTTCTGTTCTCTCCACTCTCTCTCTTCTATGTAATAATCTATAATAATATATATATATCTATATTATATTACTCAATATACCACACACCCAACAAGCACACACCTCCACACACACATGAAGCATTCAATAATAATATATATATATATATCTTATAATAATATATATAATACTATCTACCCCACACACACACACACAATATGGATATATATACCTATATATATATATAAGTATCTAGATAGTATATATAATCTATATATATATTTGATAATACAACACACACACCCACAACACCACACTGAACTTGAAATATATATATGTCATATCTAGTAATATATAACATATGTGTATATAATATATATATATATATATATATATATTATATATATAGATATAATATATATATATGAACATTCAAAACACACACACACGCACATACACACAACACACACACACACACACACACACACACACACACACCACACACACACCACCACACACACACACAACACCACCACAACACACACACCCCACATATATAGATAGATATATGTAATTATATATAGTATATTATATTATATATATATTATATATATATATATATATATATATATATATATGAAGCATTCATATTCCTGTATAATGTATGTGCAAACACACTCATATTCCGGAATGTAAATGATTCGCAATTGATTTGTTGACGGATACCTTATAGTGGCGATGGTGACATATAACATTTACTTGTCGTCAGTTGTTTTCAAAACATAATACAAAACAGATGTTTCCTACTTAAACGGAGAATGCATTATTTCAACATTACGTTGATATTAGCGATTATTTTGTGAAATAAAAAAAAACAAAGAAATTAGCACAATAAGCGACGAAAGTACAAGTATACTTTCAAGGAACGATTTGTGAACCCGCAGTGTTACTTCCATGGACGCGGGAACTGCGAACAGGATATTGCATTTCAATATATTTCTCTACAGCTGGGATTCACGGATTATTTAGATTTATAATCGGTAAATGAGTTTGGAGATTTCCGTTACCTTTTCATGATATGTAAATCTTTTGGTCAGTATGTAGAAGAGGGTAGTGGGTTACTTTCGAAAAAAAAAATTGATATTTTTCTGCATGAAATCCACTGCTTTCAACGATTCTAGGCATTGTTCCTTGTGCAAATGAATCGTTGAGGAGATATGATCACCATCTCCATCGACAATCTTGATTTGATAGTCCTGATAGCAGGGGAGGGCGTGAAGTATATTGGTGAAAATTATGGGGTAAAAACAGACCCCCTGGCTGTTAAACAAACTTCCAACCCAACACCCAGCCTAACCAAACACCGTGGTATATACTCCCTAGACAGGGAGTATATATATATATATATATATATAATGTATAATTTAAACATTATATGAGTTCACAATTGGAAAGTATGGAGCCTGAAATTGCTTGACTTCATAGTCAGGTTGGCCTTCATAATAAGGGCCTTTCAATTTAGATTACAGTGGAAAAGATTGTCATTGCCTTGGTACGCATGGCCAGATGGAGCTGAAACACTGAAGCGCCGGCTGGACCTAGGCAGTGCGTAGTGGTTTTCCTTTATTAGTACTGTTTGTGTCTACAGAATATTTCTTGTACAGATGACAGCAACTTTTATTCCTACCAGAATATCATCTTCCTTTATTTTGTCCTAGCTTAGTACATTCATACTATAAAGATTAACCAGAACCTTTTTAAAAGTTAGCTGTTGCTCATTCATAATATTTCTTTTGTAAAATTGTGGAAGTCCTTATAGTACAGACCCCCCAATCCCTTACTTATTGTTGCTGTGGGGGGCGGAGACTGAGGCCCAATTGAGGGGATCGCTCCTACCTTGGACCTCAGCATTGGACTCTGTAAAATTCTGTATGGTCTTTTCTTCTACTTTCCTTTTTCTTTTCTTCATCCCCTGTTAAAGTCCAGTTATCCTGATTGGTAACTCATTTTTACCCTGTTTGCCTCAATACTTTACCATGTCTAGCACTTTCATTTGTTTTAACTATTACCCAATTTTTATAGTACAGATACACTCACTAGAGACTAAGTCCTCAACTCCACATCACAAATTTATTCAACAACCTAAGTTCCC